ATTGTCTTTGCTATGGCATCATTTAGCTTTAATGCAACAACACCTTGTATATTCATAGGAGAAAATTATGCTCTATGAGCTGTGAAGTTGAAAGCCTATTTTAGAGCTTTTGATTTATAAGAGATTATGGAGGTGGGAGGTGATCCTCCGATGATGAGACATGTTAATCCCGCAATTGCTCAACTTAAACAGCATAGTGAGGAGGTAGCAAGGAAATATAAAACACTCTTTTATATTTAACCTACTATATCGGATGCCATTTTCACAAGAATTATGACTTGTGATAACCCAGAAAAAGCTTGAGATCAATTGAAAAATGAGTTTTGTAGGAGTGAAATGACTTGGCAAACGCAAGCTCTCAATTTGCACAGAGAATTCGAGATCCTTAGAATGAAAAAGGATGAGACAATGAAGCTTGTTAACCAATTAAGGTTGCTAGAAGAGAATCTATCTGAAAGGAGGATTGTGCACAAAGTCTTCGTTATTCTTCTAGAAAAGTTTGAGGCCAAGATTTCATCACTAGAAGACTCAAAGAACCTATCTCAACTCACGATTATAGAACTAGTGAACACCCTTTAAGCTTAAGAACAAAGACGCTTCATTTGAAATGATGGACAAAGTGGAAGGTGCCCTGATGGTAAAAAGCCATGGCAAAGCAGTAAGTAATTGTCAAAGAAGATATGACCATGACAGAAAAGAGAAAGATAGAAAAAACAATGATGAAAAACAAGGAAAAGGTAAAGCCAAATTCCAACCGTGTTCATATTGCAAGAAACGTAACCATTTAGAAAAATTTTATTAGTTTTGCCCCAATGTCAACTGTAGATACTGTAATTAAATGGGACATGTTGAGAAAGTTTGTAAGGCTAAGGCGAATTAAAATGAAGAAAAGGTTGTTGTAGTGGAAGAGAAAGAAAGTTGTGATAAAGCTCTGTTTATATTAAGATAACAAAGAAACACAGAAGGAATGATGTTTGGTTGATAGATAGTAGTTATTAGAATCATATAACTGGTGATACAGACTTTTTCATTGTGCTTGACAGTAGCTTTCGTTCAACGGCTGAGATAGAAAATGGTGATTTCATATAAATTGTTGGGAAAGGAATCGTAGGCGTTCAAACAACTTTAGGTATCAAAATAATCTCCAATGTTTTTTTTATTTTATTGAAGTGAGCCAAAACTTATTAAGTGTTGGACAATTGCTTGATGATAAGTACTTACTATGGTTTAAAGATAAGTCATGCACAATTTATGATCTGGCTGGTATTGAAATAACTACTGTTGCTATGAAAAATAAATGTTTTCCTATCCACTTTATCAAAAATGAGTTTATTGTTTATCAGTGTTGTGCAAATGATGCAATACTTTGGCGTAAGTGACGAGGACATATCCATTATGGGTCTTTAAAGCTAATGGCGTCAAATAATCTAGTTGATGGATTACCTTTTATTGCAGCTATTGATCATGTTTGTAAAATCTATCAATTTGGTAAGCATGATAGAAACTCATTTCCTAAAAGCAATGATTGGAGAGTCAAGACGAGACTTCAACTTATTCACTTTGATGTTTGAGGGCCCATAAGAACTCCGTTACTAAATGAGAGCTTACATTATCTGATATTTATTGATAATTTAACCAGATTTTGTTGGGTTTATTTCATGAAGGAGAAATCTGAGGTGTTTGCCAAATTTATTAGATTTAAAGCCTTGGTGGAAAATGCAATAGATTTGATAGTGAAGATATTAAGAACAAATAATAGTCAAGAGTTCTACTCCAAGGAATTTGAAGATTTTCTGACTCGTTATGGTATTAAACATCACAGAACAGTGTCATATTCACCCTTAACAAAATGGGTTAGTTAGAGGAAGAATAAGACACTTATAGAGATGGCATGTGGCTTGTTGCTTGGGAAAGATATTCCAATTAAATTTTGGGCAAAGGTAGTAAATGTTGCAGTGAATTTGTTGAACTTTCTACAAACCAAGGCCTTAGATTCAATGAGTTCGTATGAAGCGTAGCACGAAGCACACTTACGTGTATTTGGTTCCATTGGCTAAACTAAAGTCCCTGATGGAAAAAGGAAGTTTGATTCAAATTCACAAGTTGCTATCCATTTGGGATTTAGAGACATTTCAAAGGGCTGCAAATTATTCAATGTCCATACAAACAAAATGTTTATCAGTCATGATGTCAAATTTGATGAGGACCATAAATGGAATTGAGAGAAAGGCATTGTTGAAAGCTCAAGAAACTTCCATATCATTGTTGATGTATTACCACAGAATTTTAGTGATGATGAAGACATTGAAGACGAGAATCTTGCTGTGAGAGGTACCAAGTCACTCTAGGACATTTATAAGAGGTGCAGTTTGGTTATCATGGAGCCAAACTCAATCATAGAAGCTTTTGAAGACGAGAGATGGTTATAGGCAATGCGTGATGAGATTGAGATGATTAATAAGAACCAAACTTGGCATCTTGTAGACAAACCAGCAAACCAAAAAGCGATAGGGGTCAAGTGGGTCTTCAAGACTAAACTTAATGTAGATGGAACAAGCCACAAATACAAGGCACATCTAGTAGCTAAAGGGTAAGCTCAAGAATATGGGGTGGATTTTTTTGAGATGTTTGCACCAGTGGCTAAACATGATACCATTCGACTTTTAACGGCCTTAGCTGCCAAAGAAAGTTGGAAGATCTGGCACTTAGATGTGAAATCTGCATTCTTGAATGGCTTCATAACAGAAGATGTTTACACTAAACAACCTAAAGGTTTTGTAGAAAAAGGAAGTGAGAACAAAGTTTGCAAACTTGTTAAAGCATTGTATGGTCTTAAGCAAGCACTAAGGGCCTGGCATGAATGAATTGATAGTTATTTAAGGAGTAAAGGATTCAGTTGAAGTATAAATGAGCTGACTTTGTATGTGTTGAGCACAAATGGCTTTATGAATTTGTTGGTCTCATTGTACGTTGATGACTTATTGGTTACTGGTCCAGATAGTTATGGTATGGATGACTTTAAAGTGAAGATGAAGCAGGAGTTTGAAATGACAGATCTTGGTGAGATGACTTTTTTCTTGGAGATGGAGTTCATTCAAAAACCAGGTTATATTGCCATTCATCGGACCACATATGCTAAAGAGCTTCTTAAATGATTTAAAATGGAATCATGCAAAGCTGTTGACACTCCAATTGTTATGGGAAACAAATTATGCGAAGAATATGGAAGTTCTCAAGCTGATACTTCAATTTACAAGAGCCTAGTTGGATGTCTTTTATATCTGGCAGCTACAAGACCAAATATCATGCATGCAGCTAGTGTTTTATCTCGGTTCATGCAAAACCCATCTAAACTTCATCTCATTGCAGCCAAATGGGTGCTTAGGTACATCAAGGGAACTTATGATTATGGTCTCAAATATTTCAAGAATGAAAGCAAGGAAACTTGGTTATTGCGATGGTGATTGGACCAGTAGTCTAAAGGACTTTCGAAGCACCACTGGATATTGTTTTTCCCACGGTAGTGCTGTTTTTACATGGAGCTGCAAGAAACCAGAGGTTGTTGCACACTTCTCGACAGAAGTCAAGTATACTGTTGTAGCTTCAGCTGCAAATCATGCAGTTTGGCTAAAAAAGATGCTTTATGATCTTGGTTTCGGGCAACATGGAGGAATTAAGCTTTTGATTGACAACCAATTTGCACTTGCGATTGCCAAAAATCCTGTTTATCATGGTTGTACTAAGCCTCCAACAGTTAAATACCATGCTATGCGGGATGCAATCAAAGAAGGTGAAATCTAAATGGAACATTGCTTCTCAAAGGATCAGCTGGCAGATATCCTGACAAAGGGATTAAACAAAGATCAGTTTGTGGCACTGAGAGATAGATTGGGAGTTACCAAGCTCAACCTCAAGGAGGTGTGTTGAAGTTGAGGTTAAGCTTGGAGAGGTGCTGACAGTGAATTTACTTTTGTTTTGTGGCCATGTTAGCCGCTACTCTTAGGCAGTTTTCTTCATTCATGCATGTGAAGTTCATGGACAGTAGTTATTTCTAGTTTGTGAGTTTGTACCATGAACTGACAGTGAAGTTCAGTTTTAATTTTTCTCTTCATGTATTAATGCTGTGTTGGAATTATGAATGATAGTTCGAGTTAGTCTTTTTTCTTCTGCAGAGAGCTTTTATTTTTCTGCTTGCTGCTAGTTCTCTGTTTTATTGTCAAGTTTCAACAAGGATTTTAACCTTAATTTAGCATATAAGATTGTCGGATGATTGGACCCTTTCTCTTCTTCTGGTTTAAATTGGAATATTATCTGGAAATCTCATTGTCATACTTGTATTAAACAATTTTTGTGGACTGCCACGCATTATGAACTTCCAATAAAATCTTTCCTTTCTCACAGGAATATCATCCCATTCTTGCTGTGAGGCATCAGTGCTACACCCTTTTGCTCTGTAGCTTTGAAATGTTTAGACATTGCCTTAAAACTACTCTAGGTGACTCCTTTTGTTTGGCTACTCGGATTCTATCCACTCTCTTTTGAGCTTGATTTTGTTAGCAAGGTATTCGAGTGATACTTGTACAAGCTTCTGAATCTATTGAGGATGCAGATGCTGGCGATCAACCTCTTGTTTCCCTTATTACTAATTGCAGGCCCTAGATAGCAAGTTTCCTTCAAGCCAAGTTCCCTCATTGTCAGGGAGAGGCGAAAATAGCAGCTGATTCCCCTGCCAAGAGAGGAAGACTAGATGCTGCTGATTGATATTTTTGATGTTACTCCTTTGTTATCGCATATTTTACTTTCTGATGAAATGGGAATTTAATTCCCTAGGCCTTTAAGAACCTCTTAAAGAAAAAAAATATGTTACTTACCTTTTTCAACCCCCCTTTATATTAAAAAAGACAAAGGAAAAGGAAAGAATTGTTACAAAACAACATTCATGCATGGGCAATGGCTTCAAGGAAACCCAATGAAATAAGAATTGTCATCAACAAACAATCTAAAAACCCAATCAATGGAAACAAATTAAGGAATTCAATAAAACATGTATGAATAAATTGTCTCAAAACAAAACTTCCCAACATAGGGAAATCACAGGAACCTCAAACTAATGTATTAGAGAGTCTAAGTAATACACATGCACCCTGCAACAGCTAAGATGTGTCCGATACAGAAAGATCCCCGCTCAGTGAATGAAATATCCTCCACCAAGTAAAACTCAAATCATGAAAAAGTTATATACAGACCTAGAATTTCCCAGAATTTATCCAATTCTTCAATCATTTTCCCAAGGAATTGGAAAAACTTTTAGCTGGATAAACTGCTCAGTGACACACCGCAGTCATTAATTGTTCAGTTGAACCCTTCGTGGGGAGTCACAGTAGTAGCACCCCTGACTAGTCTTTACAGATACAAACATCTGAAGTTATTTGGAGAATCACTCACTTTCTCTCAAACAATTTCCAGGTAAAAGAAATTTATATTTATCTGCGTTCTCTAGAAGATATGATGGAAGATGAACAGCCGAGAAGGAATGAGGAATAGGTCCCATTTTTCCAATTATTTCCTTGAATGTGTACTCCTCTGGAAGCATGTCAAATAAATCAGCACCCTTGCAAATTACTTTCTGAACTCTTTTCGGATTCAAATAATGAGAGAACCTCACTCTATCATTATGGCTGTAAGCTTTCATCTTAAATATGAACTCGCTGATGCGGCGGAAGCAAAAACTGCAGTGCCACCCTGCATCTGCCAAAATCTCATCTGTCTGGCGGTAATGTGCATACCTTGTTTTACCTGTCTGATACCTATGGACCGATGCCCTCCAGCTGTTATTATCCACAAGAAACTCAAAAGAATAAAGATAATTCTTCAGCCGAAGATGAAGAACTTGTGGTATGTCATCACACCACCTCAAGAGGTTGATAGTATGTCTGCTTGGTATCTCATCAACATCTGACATTATCAACAAGTCATCATCAGAAATTCCTGCTATTTTGAGAAGCTGGTCTAATGCTACTCGCTGCAGCGCCTCCTCAACAAATGGGTTTTCTCCTTTCTTAAATCTTCCTCCAATTGTCCCATAAGTCAATCGGGGCTCAACAAATTTGAACTGATCTCGATGGCCAGCAAAAACCATAGGCTTTGGAATTCCAGTAAATGTTGAATTAGACTCAAGAAGAACAAATTGTGTAATGTAGGGGTACAACTCTTGCCACCGTACGGTAAGAATATCCACCTCGTTACTAAACAACACTGCATCATAAACCCGTCTTGGAAATTCACGAATTTTCCAACCATGAAGTTTGCAGAGAGTCTCCATTGATACATTCTCATGATAATAATGTGGAATATCATGGAAAGGTTTGGGCGGCGATTCCCACAGTGGCCGCAGGAAGTACGAAATCTTCTGCCCATGAACATATATACCGAATATGCATGTTGGAACTAGTACAAATAGAAAAATATAAGTTTTCAAATCAATGCCACGCAGTATGCAGCGGATTCTTGACATGCTCAGTCGGCTTGATTCCTGTAGCATGGACAAAATACAATATTAATACTAACCAAATTGATTAGGATGTATGACGAGAAGTAATATTTTAAAACAAGGCACTCCAGAAACATCAAAGAATATAATAAATCTAGCAGAGAAAGTAATCATGCCTACAACAGTAAGCATCATAATTTAGGTGAAAATTAGAAAAGCAATGGAATATATGCAACTCATATGCGAATGGTAATGCGCTTTAGATTCTTAGAAAAGTATGGTATAAGCTACAAACTAAAGGGATGTTTGCTTAAAAAGTAGTTTCCTTTCAAAAGTATCAACCCAAGACCTTTCCAGCCAGTTTGTACCAGGTGCTAGAAGCAAGCCAAAAGTTTTGTAAATTAAGTTCCGAATTTACTTATTGCGTAGCTTTTTTACATCTTTTGTATCCTGTTTCTAAGGTTTTTATAATCTTAAAAGGAATTTCTCAACAAAGTAATTACATCAAAATAATCTCAGATCGATAACAAATCCACTGGCACAAACACGCTCAATCCCCAAATCAAAAGCAAAGACATTTGTTTCAAAACTTAATCCAAACCCAAAAAACAATGAGATTAATAGGCAATACCTAGCAGCTAACTTGTCGATGAAATTTTTCCTAAGATCCCAAAAATTTCGACCCCATTAACTTCCCCCACATTCCCAATAAAGATTAACACCCAGAAAAGGAAACATTAAAACAAAAACAAAGAGATCAAAATAGCAAAGTACCTGTCCGCAAACATCTCCACAGATGTCATCGGTTTTTTTAGAACAATAATGCCCTCCTCCTTCATTCATCATCCACCACATTTTTTTTAAAAAAAATAACAAAATAAAGAAAACCCAACAACGAAAAATCTTCTAGCTCAGTGCTAAAAAACCCAGATCAGCTTCCAGAAACACTCCCTCGATCTCCGGCTCCCTCTTTCCTCTAACGGTTAGCTTAGCTATAATCTGTCTCCCCCTATAAAAAGAAAACCCAAAAGGCCCAAAAGAGAAAGCTCTTCCTAAAAACAATTAACGGAAAAATCGTGCTTAAATAGTAGTCCTACTTCGTTTAGCACAAAAAAATAAATAAATAAATAAATAAATTATGAAAAGGAGAGGAGAAATAAATATAGAGCTGGTGCCTCTCTGTTAATGGGTGGCAGTTGTAAAGACTAATACCCAATGGAAGAGAGAAGAGAAAAAATCTATATATTTTTTTTGAGTGAGAGCCGTTTCTCTTGTCTTCTACCCCACTTTTTCAATCCCCATCTTTCCTTTAAATAAATTTCTTCCGATTTTCTCCGTGTTTACAATTTTGCCCTTGGGATTTTTCTTCGTGGCTAAGATAGAAGTGTTAGGGTGAGGGTAGGTTAGAGAATGTAGAATTAAATAGGTTCTTGGGCCGCGTCGCCACACCTTGGATTGACCGGCTCAAACCTCAAAAGACAAAAACCTCTTTTCTTCTCTTCTCTCTTCTATTTTCATGTTTGTGCGCGTGTCGTCTCGTCTCGTCTCGTCCCGTCGCTGGTTTGCTAAGCTCACAATTTTACTAGTTCCAGGTTTTTCCGGTTTTGGCCCAGACACGTGGCCCGCTTTTTATTACTTGTTAATGTAACTCTTCTTGCGGGTTGTGGAGTGGGTCTGGGCTTCGGGTCAGATCGAAGACCAAAAGCATTCGAAATTTTATTTTATCATTTTTTATTTTTTTATTAAAAAAGGGAGAGTGGGCCCTACCATGAGGGTGTCCGGTGATTTGGGCGCCCTCCTTCCATTAAGGACCCACCGCCTTGGCTGAGGTTGCACATGGTTTAATCATTGAAATTTAATGAGAGATAGTTACTATATTCTCTTACTATCCAAATAATATTCCATTCAAGATTATTATTATTCTTCTTCTTATTTTCCATTTTTATATTCACTGTGAAGAAATTTTATAGTTTGTAATAAAGCAACCAAATTTTATGTTAATCAATACAACATATAGAAATTGTTCAAGTTTGTTTTCCTCTCTTCATTTCTTAATATTATTTGTTTAAATCAAAATTTTAAATTAAGTTTGAACCTTATCCAACATCATTAATACTCAAGCAATTCCTATTTACCCTCTTTCCTTCCCTTTTTGTTTTTTTAAAAAAAATCTACCCCTCTTCTTCTAGTAAAATGATATATTTTTATCAATGATAAAAATAAAATAGTAAGAGGTCAAAATTTATTCAATTTTGTCCAGAAAAATTCAAAATATTTCAAGTTTATTAAGATAAAAAAAGTGATAAATTATCTCATAATATATATATATATATAATTATTAGGCTGACTGAGGATTGTGTGTGTGCCATGAATTTGTATTTTGTAGTATAATACCGGTTGTATGGATATATTGTTTAGTGCTAAGTCAAAATTTAATCTCTCCTTTTGTTTTGCTAAAACAGAAAAAATCAAAGACGAGCAGAATTGGAAGTTGTCTTTCCCAGTGCCCCCGCTTGGATGTAATTTCCGCCGGCGAAGGTGAGTTCCAGACTTTTCAACGCAATTTGAACTTCAATGTTCAACACGTCAACTTCATTCAATGAAAAACACCGAAATATATAATCAAAGTCAAGTCGTTTGTCTTGGTGAATTAATAATAATAATACTAAAACAAATAACTTTATAATTTCATAAGTATTTTTATATTTTCTTTACCCACTCATTTAATTTTAAGTTTATATACTAGTTATTGAATTTTGATTTTGACCCAATTTATGGTTTTCAATCCTTTTATAAATAAACTGATAAAGAGTATGTTTGATTTAGTTTTTTTCAGCTTAAACGTTATTATAAAGTTTTTATGAAAAATAATAACTTTTAAAATTAAGTTAAAACTGTTTAATAAATTTATTTTTTATAAGTTTTGTTTAAATAAATTGTTTGATAAATAACTTATATAAATTTTGATTTTGATTAAAATTACAATAAAAGTATTTAATAAACCAAGAAAAAAATTGACACAAATAAAAAGAACATGTGTGAAAAAATATAATTTTTTTATAATATTATGAATTGCTGAAAGATAAAAAAAATATAAAAAAATATTTATTGTTATTGTTTAAAAATTAATTTGAAATTTATAACTTTTGGAGCTAAACAAAAGTGATATTATATATAAAGAAGAAAACCTAAGATGATATTAATAACGGATCCAACTGGATTAGACAAATCATGTTTAGTTATTGATTTGATTACTTATTTTTTTATTAAAATCATCAACACTAATTCCATATAAGTCTATCAAAGTCTTGATGTCCTCACCAATAAGACTCTTTTTTATAAACAAAAAAGTTTTAGCTTTAATTTTTTTTATTTCTTAATGAGTTATTTATTTTTTAAAAAATTATTACATCATCTGTTGGATGCTATGAAATTCACTGCTAAGAAGTTCAAAAATTCTACAGTTTCTGTTACCAAAAGAATTAAAGTTTATTTCAATTTTCTTTTGGTATAGTATATTGTTATACCTAAAACAAAAAATTCTTTAAAACTGAGTTATTACAAAAGGGTACAAATATTGATTTTTCAATTTTTATCTAATTTATCTCAATAACTATTGATCTATTTGACTAATTATTTCAATTATAATCAATAAATATTACATACGTCAGACAAAAGTTAAAAACAAAAAAAATTAGATAATTGTCAACAATACATTAAAAAATATCAAACAATAAAGAGAGTTTTCAAAAACAAAAACAATAAAAAATAATTAAAAAACAAAGTAGAATAAAAAACATAATATCTAAATGTAATTTTAAATTTTAAGTTATTTTTTTCTTAATTTTTGTAAGAACAAAAAAAACCCTTAGAAAGAAGATTAGCAAAAAAAGGGAGACAAGAAGGAGATTGATAATGAAAGAGGGAGGAGGTATTTTTCTATAAAAAATTTTTGTAGAAAGAAATAATTTTTTTAAAAAATTGATGTGATTTTTTTTAAAAAAAGGAAAAAAAGTTTCTATTTGAAGTTTTTTTTTTAAATTTTGCTTTTTTAAAAAAAAATTTTTAAAAAAATTTTCATAAAATATTATTGAATTTAAATAAGTTAAAAATAAATTAAGCTAAACAGATACTAAGCAGTCCAGGAAGTAGATGTAGGTGTTTCTTTGTTCAATGGTTTCGTTTTTTTCAAATGAAAAAGATAAACATACCCATTATTTTGGTAGGGAAAGAAACAATAAATGTTAAATGTGTTGATTGGATGCCATTCACCTAAACATAGAGGTGGAAGGAAGAAGGAAGGTTTCGAATGGAAGGGTCAACTCGAAAAGTCTCAACTTCAAATACCAACTGTCATCAAGTCAATGGGCCCAAAAGTGACACGGCTTTGGCCAGGCGCCAAGTGGTACCAGGAAAGCGAAAAGACATAATAATAATAATAATAAAGAAACATATGATTCTCCCTCCATTGTTTTCTGACTCATTCAAGCTGAGCAGAGACTGCTACTGAGTATAAGAGGTTTTGTTAACACACACAGTCTGATGGTCAACAAGCCTTTTGGAAGTCGCTAGCCGGTGAATGAAGAGAGTTTCTTATTCTTCCCAGGGTGGGTTAACGAAAATCAACGGCCTTGATAGAACAAAATGGATCACGCGGCATCTAAATTTGGGAAGAATTCATCACCCAATTTCGTGTACAATGCTGGCAAATTGCTTTTCATTGTAAATGAATGACACTTGTCAATAGAATGGACATAAAAGACTACTTTTGTGTATAGTTCCAGATATAAAATTATAACCTACAAATTAATTCACATTTACATCATAAATTTGGTTAAAGAATCCTCAACTAAAAAATTCCCCATGTTTGGCAATCCAATTGAAGTAAAATGTTTAATTTGATGCTTAAAATAAAAAAATATGTAATATAATACTTAATTTTATATTTGTTTAACATATTACATATTTTGTTAATATATATTAATAAAAAAATTGTAAAAGAAATATTATATTTTTTTTGTTAATTTCATTTTAATTGTGGAATCTGATAAACAGAAATGTCTTTTGAAAATTACATTGTATATTTTTTAATTTAAAATATAAAATTGAATATTTAATTATAATTTGAAAATCAAACATATAATTAATCTTTTAATTAGATATTAAAATGATTTTTTTATCATACAAGTACAAATCAAAAAAATGATAGTTCCCAACTTAACTACAAAAAAAAAATTATAGACAAGATTTGATGTTCAATTGTTCACAACCGATTAGAAAAAGTTTGCAATGTAAATTGAACCTAGCAAATTGGCTGATATGTTACCAAATAATTTCGTCGAACTCAATAAATGATAAAGAGAAAATTATACCGAGTAGACTTGGTAGTGTAGGGTGACTCCAAATCTCCAAATTATATGAGTCAACTTAATTGCTTGTTTGTTGGGTCGAGTTTAGTTCGGTTTGCGTTTAGAAGTAAAAGAACTTTTTAACTGGACTAGATTGGCCAAGATTCCGCCACGTTTTCCTGTGAGCACGACAGGATTTAGCAATACGTGCCGTGGTGACAAAACGTGAATCGAGCAATATTCTAAGAGAGAAATCCATCACCAACATTGGTACGAGTCAAGCTTTGAGGCTGATTAACGGTGTCTAGACTAAGACGTGTGGTGAGGTCTTCGGCTTTCGTACCCAATTTCGCCCCTTTGGGAATGGGTCGGCAATGCCTCCAAATCTTTATTATATACCACCACTACTACTCTTCTCCTTCCTTTTACATATGTCAGTCAACTCCTCATAAGAGATTGAACATACCAAACCAGAATATGTTAAGTTTCCAGGTAATTCCATCGCAAAACCTTGTACTCTCCTCCTCTTTGTTGTCGTGCTTTCACCATTTACGATCAATTGGCATCTTCCTCCTCTTTGTTTTCTTGCTTTCCCCATTTTACACTCAATTGGCATCATAACATAATTCTTGTTAACATCAGAAGTCTGATGGCAGCTTAACATAACGCATCGGGCTTTCCAACCCCTCCTAAATGACAAAACTTTTTTTATCAATTAGAAACCGTCGTTTTATGGGTGAAACTGGGTTGAACTGACAAATGAATGTTCTTGATCAAGACATTAATGTTATTTTGGAATAAACAAAACTTTCATTAGAGAACATTAAAAGTTAAGAGACAGCCAATGTTCCCCCTTTAGTCATAAGTTTCTTCACATCTCTTAACCTGTTTTGTTTGGCTTTTGCCCATCCTGTTAGTGGTTAGCACCCCCAACATTTCTCAGAGA